CTCTTAGGTTGGAGGCCATAGCTTTGAGGTTGGAGGCCATCGCTCTTTGAAACAAAGGATAAGGAAAGGAATATGTTCTGTGTCGCTTCTCCGAATTCACAGGCTCCAGCCGTTGGGACTCCCGTTGCGACCGGTCTTGGAACGATCTCTGCATCCAGGAGCTGCGAAGCCGCATCGTTGCTGCGGACGGCGTTTTCCAACAGCCCTACAGTAAGGTCCATACAAGTAGCAAATAACCAAAATACTCACATTTACCAACATACGTACTCACTTCCGCTTAAATGTGCCTGGAAAGAAGCTTTGGAATTTCTGCAGCAAATCGCCTGCAGCTATATAGTCTAAGCATGTTTGTAGGCACAAAGGACAAACACACATCCAAAGACAATGTTCGAGTCATGCTTTGATGTGTCCTTCTGTCTCCTCTATCACCTGCCTCCTGGCGAGTAGTGATGAGGCCACTCAGGAGGCTCCCCTGCCCGTGTGACTTCACCCTCATCCAGCGGCGGTTGGAGGGGTGTTTTTCCACCCCTGTGGCGGGCGGGCATCTTCTGAGATGGGCTTTCTAGCTCGGGATTAGTTAAACAAATAAAGCTGGCAATGACTGAAGAAAGGTATGAGCACTACTGGCAAAGGAAGAAAACACTATATATATATATATACAACTACTAAGAACAAGGACCTTGTTCAATCTCTTAGATCTTTTGAGCCCCACCCCAGTTACTTCAGTTACTTCTTCCGCTGTGCCTCATCCTGCTGCTCCTCGCGACACATCCGCCGCCATCGCTCCAGGGAGGAGGCCGGCACCTGCACCGTGACCTCGGCGGCGCGTCGACCGAGACGGCGTCGGTTCGACTCTTCGACCCAGCGACGCCGTGGTTTCGATGGTGCACAGTGGGTCGAAAGCACAGCTGGTGCACAGAAGTGGTGCATCTGACCGCAACAAAGTGGTCTTCTTGGGGATCTGGTCGGAAGTCTTCCGAGCACCTGCTGCGGAAGGGAACAAGACCATACAAGACCTGTGGTTTGGTGCGCTAGGACCTTCGGCTGTGGGTGCAAGTAATTAAGGAAACATGAGGGAATGCCACGGGAGTCGATGCTGTCCCTTCACACCTTCCCAATGCTTTTGGCCGGTCGTTTGAGTTGGACGGACACGAAGCGGGAAACTCTCACCCGGCTGGCCGGCTGGCCGCCTCACTTCCCTGATCTGTTCATTGACCTAACTGAGATCCTTCAGCTTCTTTCTCAGATTCCCCCAGCCTCTGCACACACCCCTTGGGGCCGGACCTGCACAGCAGCCTTGGGTCGTCAAGTGATGAAAGATCGTTCTCATCCCTTGCCGCTTGCCCTCTTTTAGGCCAGGGGTAGCCCTCAAGAAGGAGTTGGCGTATGGGGAGGCTGGGGAGGGGATTACTGTTGATGGGCAAAATCCAAAACTCCACCAGGATACAGTGTACGGTAGAAAGATGGACGCCTGACATACAGGAGACCAGACTAGCACCTTCACCATCATCTTGCATGGAATAGAGGCTTGGTCAATCAAAGTCCATCAACATCAATCAACTCAACAATGAATAGCAAGTGAGAACGAGACTTCCCTGACCAACATCTGCCCACTAGCAGCTGCAAAGATACGGCGCCAAGGTCGCGACTGCTTGGAAGGTCAAGGCGGTGAGGAGGCCTGCGGCAGACCTGGTGACAAGAAGATGGGTACTGCTCTTGGGTCCACACATTTAAAGAGTGCTGATTGTTATGGAATTCTATGGATATATCCTGCTTACTTTGGTTACTTGGGTAGCCTCTTCCATTCATAAGTAGAAACTGGAGAATCTGTAGGATCGTGATGGGTTGTGTCTATCTTTCAGACTAAACACCTTTCAGTTCCTCGAAACTACCGAAGGCAAAGCAACTCTATGATTTGCCCATCCTGACATTCAGGACCACCACAAGGCCATTGATAAAGATCATTGTCAAACCGTTCCAACTCCCGATGTTTGCACACCAAAACCAAACTCAAGGTGCCTCTGGGCTCCCAACACCGAAATTCGGACCTGAAACTATCTTTCAAGTGGGGACACCTTCACACCTTTATCTTGTTACTACATGTTACTAGTAGTAATGCCCTTGTTACAAATTGTGTATTACTTTTTGGTTTAAGTGGCCACTACTACAAAAGAATTCACCCGTGGACGTCATGGACCCTCCCAAAGCGGCTGATTCCATGTACCAAGCAAGTCAAGAAGTGAAGTACAACTTTGAATCAATCTGCTCTTCTCTTTTGATTTCCCTTGTCCCAAAGGTCAATTGTCATTGAACTTGCCAAACTCAGGCTTTGGCTCAAACGAACAGGAAACCCTCAGTGGCTACAGATTCTCTTGCACCTCGCCAAGGCACAGTGACTGCTTGGAGAGGTCCCGGCAGGCCATGGCGGCAGGTCTACGGATGGTTTGGACTCCAAACGTGACATGTTCTAAATACAAACAGCCAACCATAGCCAACCACTATCCGTCCTACTAGTATGAGTCAATGGACCGCGCTTGCACGACCACCTTTGGGTTTGGGTATGTCTGGCAGCTGGTAGAGATTGAAGTTCGATGGGCGATGTCCGCTGGTCCCACATGGTCCCACATCAAACACCGCTGTTGCAGCACTTCTTGGGTCCAAGTGGGAGCTCGGATTCTTGGTTTTGCTCTCTCTGCTTCAAGGATCGCACCATGTCCCAGTCAACCTTCCCATTTTGTGCGAAGCCATGTCTCATATGCGTGTCTGGCTGGCTAATATGCCATGCTCAGATCGGACCACTTGAACTTCAGTCACTTGAGTATGGGGCACCAGTCTTGGCTGCTGCTTTCATGGTCTTTTCTCGCTTCTCCACAGAAGGATGAACAGCCATACGCTATTATCTTCTTTGTGCACGAAACCGCAAGCCTGTACCAATTTGGACACGTGAGGCAGTCTGCTACTAAACAGACCTTCTAGCCACTAGACGTTCATCCGTCTAACATCATTTAACCCCTTTGCCTTGGGATCTTCCCTGGTGAGCTCCGAAAATGACACCAAAAGACCAAAAGTTGTGGCTCTTCACACGCTCCTGGGAGCTCCATCAGGGCGCTTTTTTCACTGCACAAGGTCAGGGCCTCCCTTCACCAGCTCCGCTAGACCAGCCTGGAGCGCGGACAGGGTGCTTCAACCCGAAGATCACCCTCCGAGGCGCAGAAACAGCTTGGTTTCCTACAAACTCCCACTTTTGTATGTCGTATTGTCCCTTTAATATATACTTTTATTACTTCATCCCTGCGATTCGGATCCTCCACCGATCTCCGGTCGCAGCGGGAGGAACTGCCCCTCTGCCTTGAGCCGCTCCGCTGCCTGCGCGCACTTCGCGGGCGGCAGGTTGGCGTAGCACAGCCGCAGCTCACCCGGAGCGCCTCGGACGTGACGCAGACGACGTGACGCACGCGTGCCACTGCGGCAAAGGGACACATCCAGGTGTCGCGTGTGGCGCAGGTTAGGCAGGTGCGATGTGCCGCCTTTTTTGCTTGGAAGGAATTGGCTTGAGATGGAGTTGCCGTGAGAGGGCTTCAAATCGGGCTCGGATGGGATATGTTTGGATAGGGTGTCAAACTTCTGTGATTCGATTCCTGTATTGGTCTCCTGAAAGCCCGAACGAACATCGGGGACCTGCAATCGAAAGGTCAAGGAGGTTGAGTAGAAAGGCATGGATTTATTCCTGACAATTGAAAAACTCCTGGTCCCCAAGGGCATCCTGCTGGCAGGGGTCCTTGGCTCGATCTACCCGGCGCCAAGGCAGCCAAGGCACCACAAGCGGAGCCAGGAATGGCGCAAACGCGGTGCCTCGGCTGTGCGACTCCCCCCGGCCCAAGACGTCCATGAGATTTGCTACAGTACATCTATATAGTATATCTACTAGTAGTAGTAGCGATGCCCTTGCTACTAGTAGCTAAGGATGTATTTTGGATTCCGAAACATCAATCATCCAACTCTGTGAAAGCAAGTCATGAGGGTTTGGAAGATTGGAGGAGGTGAATGGTAGTGACATGTGTTGAATTGGGGGCTGACATGTAGCGACTTTAGATGGACCCTGACGTGGCCTGCTTAGAGATTCACACCTCTGAGCTCTTCACTTGTCACTTAGCCACTCAACCACACGGGTGTCCTCGGTGCACGGAATGATCTGCGTTCGAACTGCAGCATCTGCAGCTAACAAACATAGCCGGGCCCTCTGGTTGCAGCACGTTGCAGCTTGGGATGCAATTTACAATTAATTTACTCCCCATGCCAATGTCCAACCACAAGAAGATTGCTACTTATGAGCCAGGTGCATCGCCCAAAGCAGTTGGGCCTAGCCACGTTCTCAAATCCTGCAGGTAGCTTTGCCATCAAATAGATCGCCCCAGAACCACCTCCGCATGAGGTGTGCAAAAGGCAGCTCGAAGCTCAGCTCAGGCAAACAATGAAACATTCAATTTGTATGGGACAGTATAGGTCAAAACCATTCAAAACCCACCACTTCATACCGCCTGGCCTTTTTCGGCGTCCATTCGGTTCATTTCTGGGGACCATGAACTTCACGTGGGAGTTGGACCAAGACCTACAGTACAGGGCTGAGGGCTTTGACTGTATGATTAAAAAACAATTTCCTGCTCTGAGACGTTCCAAGAGTGTGGCATCAGGAACTATACTTCGATTTGCCATAGATCTCTTGTTGATAGTACAACAGGTTAAACTTCAAAACACCGTACCTGGCACGGAGAATGCACCAGTATCCTCATTGGTGGTGCATCCTTCAGTCCTGTAAGCAAACATGCCTTCCTTCTTACCTTGAAAGCCGATGAAGGGGTCCATAATATCATCTTTGAACTTTGGGGGGCGACTCATGGCAGGAGCCGCATGTTAGGAGCCCATAGGTTTCGAACATGTTCAATATATATATATATAATGATGAACTAGCTTCTCTACGGCAAAGGTGAAACGGTCTGAAACGCAAAAAGATCTGCTAATTATAGCATGCCATCATCCATTTGTCCTTGCAAACTGGTGGGGGATGTCAACATGTTGTTCACTTTCAAGAAACATCCGCCTTCCCTTTTTGAGCCCAAGACTTGGGCGCAGTTGCTCGGGCACTGGGTGCAGTTATCCGCCAGAATCCAAGCAATGCAGGAACACATTCAGCACAATGGTCACCGAGAGCGGCAACAGCGGCAGCAAACTGGTGTCCTCTGTCATGAATGTTGCAAACACAACGCTGGCCCAAACGGATCCAACAGTCATGCCCTGGATCGGGCTCAGACATATGCACAAGAACATGGTTCGTTCTCTGAAGAGTAGGAGCTTCCGCAGTCTCCACAATTTGGTGGAAAATAGGAAAGCAAACACCATGGCCAAACATGGCTGCACCCAGACAAAGATGAGCCGCATACACCACACAGCAGAATCCATGCCTTGCAATTGAACCTTGGGTCCTTGGCTGATGACCCAAATCACTTCTGAGACTATGGGCAATATGCTGACAAACACCGCGCTGACTATATATCTCAAAGGAAGGTCCACACGCAACTTCTGCAGAATCCGAGGTGCCAACTTTTGGCGAACGCGGTGGTTGAATCTCTCTAGCGCATCCACTGTCTCGGCAGTCTCAGCCCTGGAATAGAGATGGGCCAGCGACTCATAGACCAGCTCTCTGTCACAAATCATTGCTTCGCCCGTCAAAGGATGTTTGTGCTGGTTGCTGCAACAAAAGCATTGACTACCTTGGATTTGAAAGCCTTGCAGCTGCTCTGGCAGTTGCTCCATCTCATCCATCAAAGTCATGGCAAAGTAGTTCAGAAGGGGGAGCTGAATGATCGCTAGAGGCATCACCATGACAATTACGTAGATTACCACTTCTGGCGTTTCGGGTATCAAGTCATTAGCCCGCCTCAAGGAGCTAAGAGTCATGCCATAGCAAAACATCAAGATGTGCCACAGGATTGCTTGCAAAAACACAATGGCCACCGCTGTCACAGGCAATATGTCGATTTGTTCCAAGGACCGTGAGCCTCCAGAGCTGGTGAGAAAGCATCGATTTCATAAGCACACCACAAGCGACTGAAGGTTCTCTTGGACCACAAGACAAGAAGCCTGTCAGATTTGCGAACAAAGGCTCCCAAACCAAGAATTCCCTTCTGCTTCAGCTCATCATTCTCTTGATGGATACACAGCTTGTCCAGGAAGACGATTCGAGGTGATAGTAAGCAGCTCCTGATCCTCTGCCAGAAGAACAGAAATGCCAAATAAATGAAGTAAGAGGAGAACATCCAAAGGTTGCCTGGCAAAATGTTCGCTCCCAGCTGTGTTTTCAGCACGGCCAAACTGAGGCTCCAGAGCACAGATGCCACGGCGGCAGCTTTGGAGTTGAAGACCAGCAGAAGAGTCCACATCTTCATCCACCGTGAGGTCGCCCAGTCATGGCTCAGGAACACGTCAATGGACTTGACCGGTCGACTCAGCTGGTACAACTCACTACTGGACTCGGTGACCAGGACAGAGCCGGCCCAATGTTGGCAGAAGCCACTCAGGGCCACCTGCAGCGGGGTGCCTCGAAGCAGCTCGGGCGCCAGGGTCAAACTCAGCCCGAAGCTGCTGCAGGATTGCTGCTGGTTGACAAAGCGCCCTTCCGACAAAGCAAGGGATTCGGAGGACTCCGAGAACCAGGAGATTCCAATCTCCTTCCACAGCTCTTGATCTATTTGCGAGGAATCCATGGGTGCGGAATCACAAGTCATGGAGAGGTTGCGGATATTTGCAAACCGCCTGAAGAATTAAACTCCTGAGTTTGTTAGAAATTTCAGCAATCCGAACGATTGGACCATTTCTATCTGCAACCAACATCTAGCTTGGTAATGGTTTTTGCTTGCTCAATTGTGGTGTGATCTGTGTAAGCTGATCCTCTCCGTCAGAAAGCCGAACGTGACCCGTAGATGGTACAAAGGCCACCCGTCTCTTCTCAACCCGTGTTGCCTCAACAAATGGCATTTAGATACAACCGTCGGACTGACAGTAACTATAGAGAGAGACGGATACAGTACCACAAAATGTGACAAACTTGGTCTATTATGGTCTATTTATATCGATCGCCCCCAGCAAATAGCCAGACTCCCCATCCTTCGACCCATTCGCATCTTCGTTTCTCTTCCGATCCGAAGCCTGCGACGGCGCCTTTGCCTCACCAAGTGCGGATCTGAAGTTGATCACATCTGATCGGCATGGTTCGTGCAATGATCAAATCCTCTTTGCATGTTTTACATATATGTCTACCATTCTTTACCCACCTGGGAATGAAAGGGCTCAAACATGCTCAAATCCTTGGGCATGAAGGGATGCTGATTCAATTACGGATGTTTCTCAAGGGTTCTCTCCTATCGATTCTCTTTGCTTCCATTCATCGCCAGCTGCATCGTCTGAGTGTCTCACCCAACGTCTCTTCCACTGCAGCGACCACCAGGCGCCGGTTCTCCGACAAGCCCCGCACCCTCTCCTTCCTCAGCCGAGGAGCATACGGCGGACCTCCACCAGCTCGGGGGGAAATTTACCCAGTTTGCAGCTTCCATCAGCATGTCATCTTGGCAGGAAAATGGTAGGAAAAGGGCCAAACAGGAAGTCTAATTCTAGCGGTTTCTATAACCAACTGTATTGTCACTTACTGCGTTCGAACATCTTGAACCATCTTCCAGCAAACACCGACCATCGCTGCCCTGGGCCGTCCCGACACCCAGGGCCGTCCCGACTCCATGGCCGCCAGGGCGGCCTTCTGCGAGGCCACCGCCGGACAAATGGCGATGGTGTCCTGGACCTCACCGACCAACCGCGGTGCGTCCAACGCGTGGCCTTCACGTCGGCCGCCCGGCCGCTGTGTTCGTGTTCGGTGTGCTTTTTGGTTCGTCGCCTTTCGGTGTGGAAGCAGCTTCCACACGAAACTGGAGGCCGGAATCGGTCGGAAAGTGTTCGTGGTTCTGCATCAGTCTGGAGCCTTTGAGAGGAGCTGGAGTTACTGTAATAGGAACTGCAGATAGAGTCTTGAACCTCCGAAGCTCTGCAACACCAGAGTCCACGTATTTGCAGGCAAAATGATATTCCTCTACACTATACCATACCCAAAATGTTTCTTTTGAAACACCTTGAAAGTAGCCACCTGCCTCTGGACCCTTTCAACATCTGCAAAACGTTCGAGCTCGTTCACCTTGTCCTATAGGACTAAAGGGGTCAAATCCCTATAATGAGGCCCTTGGCAGGAAAATGCATGAAAATGACTTCGAACATCTTCGAATGCATCGACTCCTGTTCGAAGCAACTGCAACGACTCCTGTTGAAGGAACGATCACGCCGGATCCACTCGATCGGATCGAGCTTCCCCGTATCGTGGACGTGGCTCTGTTGAAGGGAAGGGCCCCGTTCGTAGCGTCCGATCGCTCCTAGTAGTACGGCCAGGAGCCCCTAGTAGCAATCAAGAAACCGTACATTACAGTCTGTAATATTCAGCACCTGCAAAGCTATCCTGGGCGTTTCCCTCCGCCCCCGTCATGAGCACACATTGGCCTTCATCAGCTCAGGCGTCAGCTCTGGGGGAAAGGCCTCAAGAAATTTGGACAGTGCAAGAAAGATCGAGAAAGACAGTCCTGCTGCTTGAGACTTGGCTACTCCCAAAATCTCCAAATCAGATGGCAGAGATGGTTCATTCTCCAAAGCACCAGCATTTCGAGAGTACCCATCTCGGCCACACCCGTCCCACTCACCCGCCGGAGCTCCGTGCTAGGTAGCCTGGCGGGTGAGTAGCCCACTCATCCGGGCAGGCAGCACTCTTCATGCAAGTGTTCAACGAGGACTTGGTGATCTCCACGGATGAAATCGTGTGAGCATTCTACTTTCCCGAACATGGCCTTTCTCATGCTTTCTCTGGGATTCTTTGGGATCACTCTGATCACTCTCAGACTGATGCACATGTTCCAGTCTATACTTGGAGCGACTTCGACCTTCGAAGGTGAGATGTTCGCGGTCTTGGTTTGGCTCAACGGTGTCCTGCCTTGAAACTAGCCCATCTATACCCGATTGCAAGTTCGCTTCTCAAGAACATGCCCCTCACATTGCCCGGCCTATTCTCCAACCCATCATCCCAAAGGCCTGGCATATGTGCCCAATCAGAATCCAGAATTCATCAAAGCCACATCTGCGGTGAAAAATTGACCCAAACCAGAACTGGAACACAACGACCTTCTCAAGAATCAATCTGCAGCTTCAATCACAATGAAGAAGATTGAAAAAGGTTCAGGTCAAAGCAACGCAAATCCCTATCTATCACGCTAATTATATAGCGTGTTTGGGGTCTTTGCCAGCACCAGAGTTGGGTAATTACAGTTGAGTCTTGTGCCTTGCTGAAGGAGAAGACGTTCACCACATGATCGCCGCTAATGCAAGCATGGGGTGCGTGTCCTTCCTGATCACGTGAGCGGTCCGTCAAGGCCCCAAAGGGTTCAAACGACATCATGCATGAGTTCAATGAGATTTGGGCGATACTCTTTACAACAAGGAGTTGGCAAATCAAAGAATCGGAGACTTGCCATACTCAGGGCTGAGATGGATTCCTCTTCATAGGTGAAGTGCTCGTAGGTGTTGTCCACAACCAGCCAAACGCCATGTCGCTGACACACAGCAGAAAAACGTTCCAGCCTCACCGGTGCTCCAGCAGCATCAAGCGACTCGCTCGCCACCGACGGAGGAGGGATAGCGAGTGTGTGGGCGGGGGAGTCATCTGGTGTTGAATTAGTGTACAACTCATTGATTCTCGTAACGAGAGCATTTCCCCCCAAATCAGTGGAACGGGGGAGTCTCCCTAGAGGAGAAATATGATCAAAATAGAGCAGAGAACTGGTCAAAGGACAGCCTGGCTTCTGACCAACCCGCCCGCGTTCATCCCGACCTGTTCGAAATCATCGGAGGCAACTAGGTCCGCCAGCAAAGCTTTTGGGATGATCATGCCCGTGGGATTGCCTGGATTGACCTGAGAGTGACCCAAGCGAACTGGGTATGGCTCAAAAGCAGACAGGATTTATGAATTACAATAACTATATGAAGTGTCCATTTGGAAGGGGGGTTGGATGGTAGCAACTTTTTGAGCCATAGCCATAGCCAGCTGGATTTGCTTTGCAAAGAAAGCAACTCCACCCTCCACATCCTTCCTCAATCAGTTTCCCACAGTAGGTAAACTGAGTTAACTGCACCCCACCAATGAGGTGACAAGCAGGGGAACGACAGCAAGCTGGACCACCAAAGCCAAAGGAGTCAAGGTCGAGACGCTGAGACAGGCAACGAACAAGTGGAACAAAACTGAACTGTTCCGAGCAGTCCAGATAATGGTTGATGACCTTGAACTTCAAGCTGGGCATTGATACACCATGTCCACATTCACGGCCTGAAGACAAGCAGGGCCCTTGTGTTGAGCGACAATACGGATGTTGAGTGGAACTTTGTTCTTAATTGTTTCCGATCTGCACAATGGTGTACCCAACGAGATGCTTCCATCTCATATACAGAGCTGGCATACTACATGTGGCTCAGGTTTGGGGTTCCTTGCCACTTTCAGGCTGGCGAAAATACCTTCGAGGACTTGATTCGGTGGACGAAGAAAATGTTTCACATTTTGAGCGCTGATCGACGTGTTTCTCTTCACCCAGGTTGGCATGTTGGAAATTATAGCAAATCCCTTGGTCGATGCGTGCCTCATGGTTTGTTGCAAGGAACAGATCTGTGGGTGTCGTGTGAGGAAAGACTTTCCTTTGCCCGTTTTCTCATGAAGTATGGCGGCAGGGGCTACAATTCATGGTCCTTTCTGTTGGATCAGATGTGAAGTGTGATGATGCCACTTCCTTCAAAGGTAGCTGGCTTGTTGTGGCAATTTGTGGAACTGCGATGGATGAGGAATCTGCAATCTTTTGTGGCGTGGCACCTCTCTTTCTTGTGACCTTCTTTGATGTTGCGGTGCGTGTACAAATACTTTGGGGTGTTTACGGCACCCGGGGATGAGTCTCCTGACTCTGTGTGGTGCTGGTCGGATGTGGGGTCCTTCCCCGTCTCTTGTCTCTTAGCGATCCTTGATCCAGAGTGTTCAGGGTCTGCAATCTCAATTGTAGATTTCTCAAGTGGAACAAAGCGAAGCACAAGCAGCATTGAGCGCTAAGCAGCATTTCGCGAATCTCTCACAAATAAATACTGGAAAACTGTCCCGCAGGATCATGGCCCTTGGCACACACCTACATTGCATGAGTTCACAAAGCCTTTTTGTATAAGGCTCAAAAACCCTGGTTTCTGTCTTTGAAGGTGGGTGGACAACAATGAGATAGGCTACAGCAAGTCCCTTAATTTTGAAGTCATTCCAAACTGTGGGCAAAGGTCTTCCAAGTGGGCTCTCGCATTCGCCCAAGGATTTCTCGCCAATGTTGCAAGTTGAGCAGGTTTTCATGGTCCAAGAACATAAGAACATAAATTTGGATCTGTGTGGATCGTTCGCAATCCAGGAGTGGAGTTTCACGAGTTCGTTCGAAACAGCTTTTGCCAACTCAAAGTCTCCATGAAAAGCTCTCGATAAACAAAGACCTTTTCTGATCAACCGGTGCCAGGCCCAAAGAAGAACAAGAGTATACAAAAGTGCTATTCAAGCCAGGCCGAAGCCACAAAAGGAACATACATACGATCAATTATAGTAATACACACATGTGCTTTCTGGATACTCTTTAAGAATCCTTGAGATGAAGCTGCACTGTCAAGGCCAGGCGGCCCAAGGGTTGGTGAGGAATCTCTCTGACCGAAGATGACACATGTTGATGACACATGGTAACCGTGTTGAATGGCTAACGAATAAACTCTATCAAACCCGTCTCGAACTTGCAAATCCCAGGTTTGAAAGTCTTCCAACATGTTTTTTTGCTTGTGGATCGTTTCAAAGGCACAACTGACCAACGGACGTCAGGCAATCCCAAGATCAAGGCAATCGTAATCATGCGTATTCTCTCGCCGGATGGAGGCTGACTCAACCTGCATGCAGAATGTGTCCGACTATAGCACCGGGATTCCCTCTTGGGAATAATCAAACAATACATAATAACTGTAGTTCGTCAATTCCAGCGCTTACAGCCCCCACATACATGCGACTGCGATTGCAAAAACATTGGTCTTGGCCTGAAACTAAATGGTCTGCTTTGTTAATCTGAAACTCTGAAGCGCTCAAAAAAGAACAATTGCGCAGTCCTCTGCTCCACCCACTCGACGTCAGGTAAATAATCCTGTTTAGGTTTGTTTGGTCTTCCTTTCTGGTCCAAATAAAAGTGGAATTGAAACACGGCAAAGATATTGCACAATTCGAAATATGTCGAACACCATGAAGATCCATCAAGCAGCACACTCTCCTTTGTCGATGGAGCCAGCACAACATTGGCATGGCCGCCAGTCATCTGAAGAGCCATCCTCAATAATGGGCGTGGCCCCCGAAAGAAACACACCCCTACATTAGGCAACTCTCCCCAACAGAAATGCAACATCAATCCAGAGGATTGTGGTCGTCGTTGGGTCCTCTAAAATGTACCCTTACCCCATGCACCAACCTCGGGGCGCTCACGGCCCTTCATCTTGTCCGGTCTTCAACTGCTCCACTGGAATCTAGTCCAACAACCGCACATGGCTTACAAAGAAAGACCCGGAAAGCTGTCTGGTACAGTAACAGTACCCCGCTTTACTTTGAGAGAGGAGCACCATGGGCACCATGGGGGGTGGAATTGTGAAAAGAAGTTAGGGCACATGTGCTGACAGACTATCCTGACAAATGCGGTCTGATGTGGTTTGGCAGAATGTTCTGCAGACGCTTGTTCTGGCACGTGCTCTGAAACATCATCTATCATAAAGGCTGGGACATGTTCTGGACTGTGTTCTGACGTCCTTGTTGGCATGTGTTCTGACATGTTTCCTGCCATGAAGTCTGACATTTGCTGTGGCATAAGGTCCGACTTCGGTCCTGGTATGTGCTCTGACATGTGTTTTGCCGGTGTATTCCGACGTTGTTCTGCAATCAAAGAAAATGAATGTCTTCGCAAACAAAAACAATATAACATGTGTGTTTATTTATATTATATATAGTGGCATTCTATCCGGCAAACATTCTAACATTCTGTCTGGAATATGTTCTGACATTCTATGTGGCATTTGTATCTTGGCAATCTACCTGCGATATTTTCTGACATTTTAGCATACTTGAGGCGGTGGAGGTGGACGAAAGGTAGAGCATATCAGCAGCAGCGGCGCCAACAGGCAGCGAAACAGCAGCGAAGCAGCAGCAAAGCAGCAGCGAAGCAGCAGCGAAGCAGCAGCAAAGCAGCAGCAAGCCAAGCAGCAGCAAAGCCGCAGCCAAGCAGCAGCGAAGCAGCGGGAAAGCAGCAGCAAAGCAGCAGCGAAGCAGAGCGAAGCAGAGCGAAGCAGAGCGAAGCAGAGCGAAG